CCGGCCCCCCCCCCCTTGCACCGGAGCCTCGCTCACGGTAGGTGTCCAACCAACATCTGCTGAAGGAATGGCTGTTAAAGAATGAATGAAAGTCCAGGGCGAGGGGTACACATTGCAGCCTGGCAGTCAGGAGCCCAGTCCGCTTTCCAAATGCGGAAACCAGATCTGCGTGTGTGGCTGAGTGAGAGGCAGGCGACCCCTTTGGCTGCCAGGGGTTCCCTGCTTGTCCCTGTCCCGCCCCCCTCAGCTCCGGCCTGTCCCCACCCCACCCCAGGCCCGCCCAGCCCCCAGGAGGAGGGGACAACGTGCGGGAGGGAATGCGACTAGATCCAGCTGTGGGCAAAGTACGGCCCGCGGGCTGGATCCGCCCGTTTGACATGAATAAAACTAAAAAAAATAAAAAAGACCGTACCCTTTTATGTAATGATGTTTACTTTGAATTTATATTAGTTCACACACACACTCCATCCATGCTTTTGTTCCGGCCCATGGTCCAGTTTAAGAACCCATTGTGGCCCTCGAGTCAAAAAGTTTGCCCACCCCTGATAGACAGAGAGCTCTCTGGAGCCATAACCCTTGCTCAGAAGCAGGAACACTTTCCACAGCTGGTTTTGTGAGTGTATATGAGTGTGTGTGTGCTTGTGTGTGTGCAAGTGTGTGTGAGTATATGACTGTGTGAGTGTGTGTGAATGTGTGTGTGTGTGTGTGTGTGTGAGTGTATATGAATATGTGTGAGTGTGAGTGTATGTGTATGTGCACGTGTGTGTGTGGTTGTGAGTGTGTGTGTGTATATGAGTGAGTGTGTGATTGTGTGTGTGTGAGTATATATGTGTGTGTGTGCTTGTGTGTGTGCGGAACCCATTGTGGCCCTCGCTGTGTGAGTGTGTGTGAATGTGTGTGTGTGAGTGTATGTGTGTGTGTGTGTGTGTGAGTGTGAGTGTATATGAATATGTGTGAGTGTGAGTGTATGTGTGCGTGCACGAGTGTGTGTGTGGTTGTGTGTGTGTGTATATGAGTGAGTGTGTGAGTGTGTGTGTGAGTGTATGTGTGAGTGTGTGTGAATGTGTGAGTGCGAGTGTATGTGTGAGTGTGTGTGTGTGTGAGTGAGAGTGTATATGAATATGTGTGAGTGTGAGTGTATGTGTGCGTGCACGAGTGTGTGTGTGGTTGTGCGTGTGTGTATATGAGTGAGTGTGTGAGTGTGTGTGTGTGAGTATATATGAGTGTGTGTGTGCTTGTGTGTGTGCAAGTGTGTGTGAGTATACGACTGTGAGTGTGTGTGAATGTGTGAGTGCGAGTGTATGTGTGAGTGTGTGTGTGTGTGAGTGAGAGTGTATATGAATATGTGTGAGTGTGAGTGTATGTGTGCGTGCACGAGTGTGTGTGTGGTTGTGCGTGTGTGTATATGAGTGAGTGTGTGAGTGTGTGTGTGTGAGTATATATGAGTGTGTGTGTGCTTGTGTGTGTGCAAGTGTGTGTGAGTATACGACTGTGAGTGTGTGTGAATGTGTGAGTGCGAGTGTATGTGTGAGTGTGTGTGTGTGTGAGTGAGAGTGTATATGAATATGTGTGAGTGTGAGTGTATGTGTGCGTGCACGAGTGTGTGTGTGGTTGTGCGTGTGTGTATATGAGTGAGTGTGTGAGTGTGTGTGTGTGCACTGCAGCTGTAAACTCCGGGCTGTGAGCTGGGGGAGGGTGGAGAAGGGGAGGCGGTGGAGGAAGGCCAGGGCGGAGCACATGTGTTTGGGTGATTAAGGAGGAGGGGGCCGAGGGGGGGGTGGAGGGGGGACGGCGCTGGGGC